AAAAAAAAAAAAAAAAAAAAAAAAAAAAAATCCCCACCCCCTCAGCCCCCAACGAAGTCGGTTGTCGCAAACGTCGTTATTGAATTTGCCAGGAAATGAGCTTTCTGCGCATGCGTATTATGGCCACGTGGAAAAGCGGTCGCTTTGCCGTCAAATTCATCTCTAGGATCACCTCAAATTACACAACAATAAAAGTCATAAAGAGAACGGGCGCCGTCGTTCTGGATTGGTATGCCATTGATATTGGGCATGGAGATATCACCTTTTTACAATTGTGCGAAAGGCTGGCGGCAGCCAGCAATTATCGCCCGAAAAATTTCTGTGACATTCTGTACAAAGCAGCACATTAATACCAGGTTTTCTGTAGCGAAAAAAGGGTCGACAAGGGCGTCGAGGTATTTGGTGGGCTGAAAGTCGGACAGGCCACCTGACAGTTTGGCTGCTTCGTGTGAGTTGAAGTAGACAAAATGGCATCGTCCGAAATGACCTTTAATAGATTTGGTAGTATTAAGCATATCTTTGCATCATTTTTTAAACATTTCTGTTAAGTGTTCAAAATGCTTTAATATTCTGAGAATACAAATAAAGACACACTGTTTGATTGATATTTGTTTTATTGATTGCTATACCAACTAAATGCATGAAATAACCTTAAATAGATTTGGTAATATGAAGTATATCTATTCATGACTTTTTTTTTTACATTTCTACGAAGTATTCACAATGCTTTAATATTTTGAGAGCATGGATAAAGACATATTGCAGGCCCGTAGCCAGCAATTTCAAAAAGGGGGTTCTTTTTCTGAAAAGGTGGACCGTTTCCCATAAAAAAACACCATGTACCTAGATCAAATTTTACCCAGAGTGGACCTTTTCCCAGCAAAAGGGGCGGTTCTTTCGAACCCCCCGAACCCCCCTGGCTATGGGCCTGTATTGTTAGTTTGATACGTGTTTCTGTGGTAAAATTTGTGTTTCCAGCTGTGTACTGACAGCATTCCTTTACTTAAGCAGTATTTTTTTTTAGACTGTTTTTTTTTTTTTTTTTTGCCCTCTCGCACCGATTTTGGGGTACCCAGAGGATGTCATCCATAAAAATAAAAAAGTGTGGCCTTATCAGGAAGTGACGTTCCATTTCAAAAAATGTTTTTTCCTACAGAATAACCACATCCAGAAAAAAAATGATAAGAGAACGATAAGAAATTGAAAAAAAAAGGAGTAATATAAGACTTACGAAGATATATCTGCAATATTCAAAGCCTTTAATCTTTAAAGTGAATTATGCGGATTCTGATCAACACCCACAATTATTACTGCAATTTTACCATATTTCCAACAGAAAACGCTGACTCAGAAGCAATAACAGTCACCATCTTCTTGATTTGTGTTAGATATGAAAAAAAGAACCATTACATGCAGACCTTGTGCAGTTATTTTCGACCATTTTACCAAGTAAAACATGCGTTTTCGGTATGTTTATACATGACACTGCCGGGCGTTCATGTATATCCTGTGGTTGATGCACGACGGTAATAATTCCTGAAAGTGATAAACACAACTATTTACTTTTCACTGAGCTAAGGGTGCTAACTCCGTATCTTCGAATAATTTTGGATAACATCTTTTAAACGCAGGGTACGGCGAGAAAGATGACCGGCTGCACTTTATAATAACGATCAAGAAAAACTGTGACAAATTAAAAAAAATTAATAATATAAGGACCGATGTCTCCCCTCCATATCGTCATTTGTACTGCTGCCGTACCTAGCTGGCGTGTGGATAAATTAAGGATTCTAACAAGTTTTTCAACAAGTTGTGTACTTACTGTTATTACTGTCTTAATTAAGACTCCAAACGTTGTGGAATTCAAAGTCAACATGGGTGAGTCGCTCACAGAGAATTAGCTGAACAAAAATGGTGTAAGTTATCCTGAACGAATGTGTTTAATCATATATATAAAAGTGCCATAGTTTACTCAGTTCACTTCACACCTACGGTATATGACATAGTCGTTGCCGCCATAGTCAGTTTTATTTATTTTGGCATTGCAAATGTCGCAAACGTTCACCATTAATTATTTTACTTTTTAACTTTCCAGGCAATACTGTATTCAGCGAGTGCACTGTACCAAACGCATACCAGAATGCAAGCACGCAGATGGAGTGTATACCAGACGGGTTACTTGGCAGTAACGCTGTGCCTCCCATCTGTACATTTAACCCACTGTTCCTTGCCTTCACCGCCACTGGATTCCGTTGTATGTGCCCACCGGGGTCTTTTCCGTTTACACTTCCTACCTCCGTTTTTCCTAGTCCAGTAGTGGATGCGACGTTTGTTTCCGAATGCGTCACAAGTATTTATCATTATTATTGTTATGATTTATTATACCTTGTTACAACATTCAATGATAACAAAACACATAATTGCCTTTCATGTAATTGCTATTATTATTACGGTTATTGTTGGTGTTGTTTTAGTCCAGTTATAATCATTATTTTGATAATTTATTTCAAATCAATATAGTTCTTTTTTTTTTGTTGTTCATACATAATGTTCTGATTTTCGTAAAAAATATATATAGTTGAAGGCTCTCCATGCACCACGGACGCAGATTGCAACTTAAGGGCGACGGACTGCCTTGGCGTTGCCAGCCTTGCCAATACGGATATCCCACCGCAGTTCAACTTCGGGATTACCTCAGACATAGCACGTTTTATCACGGTAAGCACATTCTTTTTCATATTTTTATTTATCTGTTGTGTTCTTTCACTTTTATACTGAAAACATTTATCCATTTGTTACCCTGCTTCCCACAACCTATCCTGCTACAGT